ATGTGGAGGAGAACACAATTTGGGAGAGTGCCTTAATGATTATTTGAATCCTCAATCTCCCATGGGACATGTTGATTTGGTAGGATATAGTAGGCCACAACAATCATTCCAACCACAACAAGGGGCCTACGATCCTAATGCATCAAGAAACCATCCTGATTTTTCATGGAGTAACCCAATGGAAGCGGAAAATCCCCAAACTTTGGCAATAGAGGACCACCTCCGAGATTTCAAGGGCAACAAAATTTTAGAGGAGGTCCAACACAACAATTTAGGCTAACTCAAGGTTTCCAAGCTCCTACCACCCAACCAAGGCAATCATTGCCTACTTTGGAAGCACCACCTCCACTGAATTGGGAAGCTATGATAGAAATGATGCCCAAGTCCAAATTGCAAAGTGATGAGAGATTTAGGCAAATGAAGGAGAGGTTGGATCGATTGGGTGCTGACAACAAAATGTTAGAGAATCACATTGCAAATCAAGCTTCAACACCAAAGTCATCGGGAAGTTGCCCGCTTGCCCCGAAAATCCAAGGGAGCACATGAATGCTATCACTACTAGGAGTGGAAAACAACTTGAAGGTCCACCTTTGCCCACTAGTGATCAAGTTCTCAAGAGGAAGCCAGAAGATGAAGTTGAGAAAGTAAAGAAAGATGTTATTATCCAAACCAAGGGAAAGGATTCAAGCCCAAGTAATTCCAAGGAAGATGAAATTCAAGAGATTGAACCTATGGTAAAGCAAATCCCACCCTCCCATTCCCACAAAAGTTCAAGAAGGCTAAGGTGGAAGAAAGAAGAGCAAAGTTTTTGAGCTTGATCAAGCAATTGGAGATCTCCATTCTGTTGCTTGATGCCATCACCGAAATCCCTTCATATGCAAAATTCTTGAAGGAGATTTTATCTAACAAGAGGAGATTTGAGGATCATGAAACCGTGGCGGTCAATGAAGAGTGTAGTGCTTTAATCCAAAACAAGCTTCCCCCAAAGCTTCGAGATCCCGGCAGTTCTCTATCCCTTGTGTCATTAGATAATCTCTTGTACAAAGAGCTTTGTGTGATTTGGGGGCTAGTGTGAGTTTGATGTCATATTCTTTGTGTAAGAAGTTGCAACTTGGAGAGCCAAAACCCACCTCCATGACTTTACAATTGGCGGATAGATCCGTGAAGCACCTCGTTAGAGTTCTTGAGGATGTTCCGATGAAAATTGACAAATATTACATCCCGGGTGACTTTGTGGTCCTAGAGATAGAGGAAGATGCTAAAGTTCCCATTATCCTTGGGAGGCCATTTTTGGCAACCGCCAGGACGGTGATTAATGTCAAAAAAAAAGAACTTTAGTGCTTGAAATTGGAGATGGCAAAATTGAATTTAATGTTTTTGAAATGAATAACAAATCTCCTTGTCTTGATGAATGTTTTTGTGTAGATACCATTGATTCTTGTGTTTGTGAAACACTTGAAGGAAGCATTTGGGCATCTAATGATCCTTTGAAAGTTGGCATGAGAGACACCATTGAGGAAGGGCACATGGATGAAGGCACAAGTGGTGGTGACAAGCCTTTTGATGCAAATGATTCATTAACACCACCACCAATGTATAAAGCATTTAGCCTTGGGAATCACTTGACTAGTCAAAAAGAAAATAATCATCCAAAGGTAGAATTGAAACATTTACCATCTGAGTTGAGGTATGATTTTCTTGGTCCCAATTCTACTTATCTTGTAATTGTGAATGCCAATTTGAATGATGATGAAATCAAGAAGTTGTTGCATGTGTTGAGCATTAGTGCATTAGTGCATCCTATTGCATGCATAGGATGTATTTGGAAGATGGGCACAAACTTAACATTGAGCCCCAACGTAGGTTGAACCCAAATATGAAAGATGTGGTGAAAAAGGAGATTCATAAATTTTTGGGGGCGGGCATTATCTATCCTATCTCGGATAGTAAGTGGGTTAACCCAATCCATGTGGTTCCTAAGAAATGGTGGACAACCGTAGTGAAAAATGGAAACAATGAGCTTATCCCTACTAGGTTGGTCACCGGGTGGATAATGTGCACCGATTATAAGAAGTTGAATAAAGGCACTAGGAAGGACCATTTCCCCGTCCCCTTTATTAATCAATTACTTGAGAGGATGGCCAAACATGCTTATTTTTATTTTCTTGATGGCTTTTCGGGATTCTTTCAAATTCCTCATCCGTCTAAATGATCAAGAAATGACTACCTTTATGTCCTTATGGTACCTTTGCTTATCGGAGGATGACATTTGGGCTATGTAATGCACCGGCAACATTTCAAAGGTGCATGGTAGCTATTTTTTCAGATTTTATTGAAGAAATTGTGAAAGTTTTTATGGATGATTTTTCAGTTTATGGATTGTCTTTTGATAATTGTCTTGTTAACTTGGATAAAGTGTTGAGTAAGTGTCAAGAAGCTAATCTTGTTTTGAATTTGGAGAAATGTCATTTTATGGTAACTAAGGGGATTATTCTTGGCCACAAAATTTCACAAGACAGCATTGTGGTGGACCCGACAAAAGTGGAGGTCATTGAGAGATTACCACTACCCACCACCGTTAAGGGACTAAGAAGTTTCCTTGGGCATGCGGGATTCTACCGGAGATTCATCAAAGATATTTCAAAGATCTCAAAACCTTTTACACACTTGCTTTCAAAAGTTGCTAACTTTGTTTTTTATGAATCTTGTCTTGAAGCTTTTTCTAGGTTGAAGAAGGCTTTGACTACAACTCCCATTATGTCAGCACCGGATTGGAGCCTCACCATTTGCGATCATGTGTGATGCTAGTGACTTTGTCGTGTGAGCCGTTCTTTGTCAAATGAGGGATAAGAGCTTACATCCAATTTATTATGCAAGTCACACTCTTGATGAAGCTCAAGTCAACTATTCCACCACCGAAAAAGAGATGCTTGCGGTGATCTTTGCCATTGAAAAATTCCGGCCATATCTTGTGGGGGGAAAAGTGATTATCCATACTGGCCACTCGGCACTCAAATATTTTATCAACAAGAAAGATGCCAAGCCAAGGTTAATTAGATGGACCCTTCTACTTCAAGAATTTGACATTGAAATCAAAGACAAGAAGGGATCCGAAAACCTTGTTGCCGATCACTTGTCAAGGTTGGAGATTCACGAGGAGGTGGTTCGAGAAGAAGAATTGCCAATTGATGACAATTTTGTGGGAGAACAACTCGTGGCAATCAAAGCCCTCTTGCCTTGGTATTCCGATTTGGTAAATTATGTGGTTTATATTGTTGATGCTTGTACTTAAAGGCCTAAATTGCTTGTTTCATTGCTATATTTATGTATTGATGGGAGTTAGGGCATATATTAGAGTACCCACAATTGCACTTGACTATTGCTTATTTGAAAAAAGCATTTGGTTAAGGGATTTTAAGATGCTTGTTCTTGTTCTTGTATTATGTTGTTGGAGTTATGGGAATAATTCCCCTCTTCTATGCATCTCCACACTTGTTTGAACCCAAATTTAAATATTTCACTTTAGATTGGCACTAGGTGATTAAACACTCGACCTCCAAAAATCCAGTCTTACTCTATTGTATTCATCAACTTGCTTGCATTGTTCTTTTTAATTACTTATACTTTTCCAAGCAATCATCCACCATTTTCGCTAGGATTAGTTTCTTATTAATTGATTAGTAACTAGTGTTTGATACGCTTTGCTTCCTTGTGGATCGATAACCCCGAATACTTCGTGTATTTGATTGTCAAAATATGATACAATCAGTCAAGGGGTTCGGTATTCGACATTGGCAGTGGATAACATCTTCCTAGAATCCCTATTAATGCATAACCTACTTCCTACATAGGACTCTACATGGCACCTACTCAAGGAAAGCTTAATCCAAGTCCCATTTTCCCTTTAGTTTGTTTACTTGTGTAATTGCATGCGCACTTTGCTTTCTTGCATTGCTTCCTTTACTTTCTTGTTGTTATTACTCTCTACTTCGCACATGTTTCTTGCCTAAGCGTTGAGACCTAGCTTCATGTGGCCCTCGTGCATTTATGGTTAACCATGCATTAACCTATTCCCACGTGTCATTCCTTGAGAATGACATCTCGAAGAAGATTCATTTTGCTCAACTTTGTTCCATCCACCACGACACTTCAATTTGTCAAATTAATCCCAAGGTTTTCCTAGATTGAACCCGACATGGAAGCTATGCACAAGTCATCTGTAACTTTCGCAATCGGCCCCAACAAACCATTTAAACATAGTGATGGTGTGGTACAAGTCACTCCTGGCATTTTGACTTAGCGAAATATAACTACCTAAAACACAACTTTTTGTATCCTTGCACATTGGTTCATCTGTAGTAACTTATACATACACAATGCTTGTTGTAGCCTTACAAATGTTTTTTTCAAATCCAACCGTTTTCAGTTTTCTTTCTCCTGGTCCCTTCAATTCATTAGTGTCATTAATTCTAATAATTTATAATGGTATAAGTTTACATTTATAATTGTTTGTAAGTTTACATTTTTTCTTTATTTTTATTGTATTGATTATTTATATTGGTAAAATTTTACAATAGTTTCTTGCATTTGACTAGTTTTGATTAATATAATAATAATAATTGTTTTTGTTTGTGTATATACAACATAATATAATAATATTATTATATATTAGGAGATGAACGCAATGGGAGATCGTGGGAAGCAGAAATGACCTTCTCAACGAAGTCAACTACTACCGACCATCTTCCGCAATAATCTAAATATATAATTAACGATAAACATCCACTCTGTATATCTCGAACTGTCGTTCCATTCAGGGCTTTACCTAATCAGCATACAAAGCTAAACGTTGTTTAATCTTCATCCCCTCCTCCGCTCCATTATCCTTAATCATATAATATATCTGTTTAGATCAATAATATATGTATTGATGATATGTTGTAATGACCAAACTTCTTGATTAATTGCTTTGCAAGGGTCCTTCAATTCCATGCATGAAGATGACGAAGAGCAATTGGCAAAAATGTCGTAGGAGCTTTAGCATGAAAGCTAGGAGTACTGTAGGTGATATAATACCACATTCATTCTCTACTGGAGAATTATATGCCATGGTAAAAAGTGGCAACGCCAAAGGCGGTGGCAATGGCAACGCCAAAGGCGGTGGCAACGGCAACGGTACGGGCACCGACACCGATACCGGCACCGGCACCAGCACCGGCACGGGCACGGGCACAGGCACGGGCGACGGTGACAGCGGCTATGCATTACCTAATGGTAGTGGTGATGAAAATTTCGATCTGTTATCTCTAGACGTTGATCGGTTCGCTGCCATTCTTTCCAGCGTTGCAGACAAGTCCAATCCGCCGGAAATCCCGGACGTCGTCGGCCAATTCTCCGACGTAATTGAGTCCAAGGTGGCCAAGTATCATCCCGCCGGAGAGTGTCGGGACAGGATGGAGAGGGAAGATGATGTTCCGCGTTTGGTGGGAGGTGTTAAAAGGTTGGCGAAACTGAGGGATAGATTCGCGAAGTTTCCGGACCTCACACCGTCGCAGCACCGGATCAGCACCGTCTTGCATCTGGCGATAACGTTCTTAGAAGACGAATTACGGTACTTGCTGGAAGATTCCAGAATTCAAATTTCCTTCGAGGAGGAGGATGAGGAGGAGTCCAATAGTAAGGATGATGTGGAATATCCAGAGGATTTGATGGGGAGAATGAAGATGATCGCCGGCGCGATGGTTTCGACCGGATTTGAAACGGAATGCTGCCAGGTTTATTCGATTGCGCGGTGGAATTGGTTTTCCGAGAAGATGAAAGCGCTGGAATTCGAGAAGTTGAACATGGAGGACGTGCAGAGAATGCCTTGGGATTTACTGGGAGTAGAGATCACGAGATGGATCACAATCGTGAGAAAGTGCTCCAAAATTCTGCTCCCGGCGGAGCGGAAATTGGGGGAATCCGTTTTCTCCGATCACCCCTCCGTTTCTCGGACCCTCTTCTGCAATCTGGCCCGCACCGTCGCGATCCGGCTTCTGGATTTCGCGGAGGCGGTGGCGATGACGAAACGCTCCACCGAGAAGCTCTTCAAATTCCTCGACGTGTTCGAGACCGCGCAGGAGCTCATCCCGGTGGTCAGCGAATCCTGCACCAACGATTACCAGAACGAGGTGAAATCGGAGATCGAGGCCGCCCTAGAGAGGCTGGGCGAAGCGGCGGTCAACATTTTCACAGACCTGGAGAGCTCGATCAAGAACGATGTCGCCAGAATTCCGGTCCCCGGCGGCGCCGTACACCCGCTCACTCGTTACGTGATGAACTACCTGAAATACGCGTGCGAGTACAAGGACACCCTGGAGCACATTTTCCAGCAACACGGCAAGGTGGGGTCGTTGATCCACGACGGAGAATTCACCAATGGCGGCGGCGCGGAAACAGAAAGCGGCGATAGCAGCCCGCACAATAATCTCACAACAACCCACCCTACAACACCATTTTCGATACAGGTGTAAGAAATATTGTTTTTATGTGTTTATTTATTTGTCATACAAATTTGGCAATAGTCATAGATCTTACTTCGTCGTGCCTTAACATGCAATCAGTACGACGGTGTTAATAGTTATGCAAATATGAAAACAGTGTTAAAAAATGTACAACACAAAATACACAATTAAGTACACAACGCTAACAACGCACCATTAGTTAGGTATAAAAACACCATTGTTCAGGAATGTATAATTAAGTGTTGGGAGTTATGATGTATTTGTTTGGGTGTGTTGTGCGTTTTGTGGTCGATTTGTGCATTTCATTGTTATGCAATTTTCTAACACTATTAGTGCCTTTGTTAACATTATTGGTGTCTTTTTTAATGTACAATTAGATGTAGGGGAGTTGTGATGCATTTTGTTTGGGTGTGTGATGCGTTATATTTGTGCATTTCATTGTTGTGTTGGTGCCTTTATTAACACTATTGTGCCTCTTTTTAAGTCGTGCCAGGCACGTTAAAGCCCGCCGTATATGAGCAAAAGTCAAGATTATATGCCTAAATTAAGACAGATTATAAAGTGAATTCCATTTTTGATCTTACTGTTATAGGGGTTTTTCCAATTTTAGTCCACTATAATTATTTTTGCCACATTGCGTCCACTATTATTAAAAGTGTTTCAATTTTAGTCCATTTTTAGATTTTTCGTGGACTAAAATTGGAACACTTTTAATAATAGTGGACGCAATGTGACAAAAATAATTATGATGAACTAAAATTAAAATGACCCCTATAACAATAGGACCAAAAATGGAATTCACTCCAGATTATAATACAACTAATCTACAATATTATTGTTTACATATTTATCTAATTTCCATATTCCAATAACAGGTAATCACCATCATGGACCTCCTGGACGCAAACCTGGAGGCGAAGTCGAAGTTGTACCGGGACCCCGCCTTGCGTTCCATATTCCTGATGAACAACGGGCGATACATCTTACAGAAAGTGAAAGGCTCGGCGGAGATTCACAAAGTGATGGGCAACAACTGGTGCCGGAGAAGATCCACGGTGGTGAGACAATTCCACAAGAACTATCAACGAGAGACGTGGGGCAAGGTGTTGCAGATCTTGAGCCATGAAGGCTTGCAAGGGAACGCCAAGGCATTGAAGCCAGTGCTCAAAGAAAGGTTCAAAAGCTTCAGCACCATATTTGACGAGATCCATAGATCGCAGAGCACGTGGGTAGTGAGTGACGAGCAGCTTCAATCGGAGCTTAGGGTTTCCATATCCGCGGTCATCATTCCGGCCTACCGCTCTTTCTTAGGGAGGTTTAGACAATATTTTGACAACACAAAGCATGCAGAGAAGTACATCAAATACCAACCTGACGATATTGAGACTTTGATTGAGGGATTATTTGATGGTAATACTGCATCTATGGCTAGGAGAAGGTTGTAGCTAGTTTTAATATAATTTGTTATGTATGTTACGTTGTGCAATACAATTTCATTCATTAAATCTAGAGTGAATTCAATTTTTTGTCCTATTGTTATAGGGGCGTTTCTAATTTTAGTCGATCTTAATTTTTTTGTCACTTTATAACCACTATTATGGAATGTGTTCCACTTTTAGTCTAACAACCTCCATCAATGTCTTATACCAACTATATATTTCATTTCAATCTTCTTCTTCCAAATATTGTCTACTAAACTAGTGACTTAAGTTCGTGCAGGTTATTTTAATTTGTTTCAAACTGTATTACTCTTATTTTCTTTTCTTTTGATGTGCTTGTAATATATAATCTTAAAAATGATTAGACCACATACAGGTCAATATTATAACTAGGTGTGCATACTATTAAACTTCTATATTTATTTTGGTCCCATAACTTTTTAAAATATTTGTGGTTCAAAGATAGTGTAATTCTTTTACTATGCTCTTTATTCTTTTTCACTAAAAGGGATTTCAGCAGCAAATTTGTCCTTTCACAAATTACAAGTGAAAAATAAACTTGTGCTTTGATCACAAATGTAGCACAAATTTTTCCCAGATTTCACAAAACACCAAGAGTTTGTTACTAAGCCTCTTTCTACACCAACCGATGCATGCAACTTGTCCTTGAAATCTAACTTTTAAACTTTTTACAGGAACTTTACTTGTTTGGGTAAGTATCATCATTGGATGGTGTGCCAACATCTACTTTTAGCTGATCAAACGTATTCACATAATCTTGGATTAACTCAGGCAAGGTCGCGTAATTCGGAATATCTAAACTAACACCTGAAATTCGAATCAAATTTTAAATTTCGAGTGAACCCGAATAGTTATCGATTCGGATATTTTAAATTTTGGTATATCCGAATATAAATTTGGTTCGAATATTGGGTATTAAAATTTTATCCACACCCGACCTGAAACTCGAACTAACCAAAATTTTATTATAAATATAGTAATATAAATTATATATTTAGTTTTTAAATGTATTTTGTAATTAATAATATAATAATGTTTAAAAGTCTCTTAATTAATTATTAGTATTTTGTCATATTTTTATATATACACATATGTATGTGTATAAATATATGTATTATACACTTTAATATACTTACTTATATTTTAATTAATTATTTATTTATTTTGATTCCAATTTCAATTTACTACCAAACAAAGTGACTCCTACTAAAATTACATTATCTATCTAGCTACTTGCATAACGATAGAAACGATTGGAGAAACGCTCTCTTGTCAGCGATCTGAGGAAGATCGAGATCTGTTAGAACGGAGTACGAAGAAGGCCAAAAAAGGTGACAGATCGGGAGAAGGATCCTCGACACAGCCAGCGCTCGACGGGCTTGATGGTGTTCCCGAAACGCCGATAGAGGTCTTGATGACGAACGACGAACCGGCCATGCAGGTAACGCATGTAAGTGAAACAGTGCTTCCTGTAACCCATCCTTCTTTGATACAGGTTCCGGAGGCATCTCGTCGAATGTACGCCGAGACTGTCTCTGGGCAGGATGAACGGAATGTGCGACAGACAGAGGAGACGATGGAAGAGGAAAGCGAAGAGGATCTTTCGGATGAGGACGACGATGACCCTCTCTGCCCGACGATCCGCCTAACACGGGCTGAGGTGAAGGAAATTCGAGCACCATGGCGGAAGGCGATAATCGTAAAGGTGATGGGGAGAAATGTTGGATACGCATATCTGTTACGTCGCCTTACATCCATGTGGAAGCCAAACGGGAAGATGGACCCGATTGCCATTGATAGTGGATATTTTATCGTCAGGTTCGGGGCAGTGGAGGACCTGGAACACGCGATGTTTGAAGGACCATGGATGATCATGGATCACTACCTAATAGTGAAGCCATGGGTGCCGGATTTTGATCCTTTTTCCGATGTCACGGAAAAAGTCCTGGTATGGATTCGAATCCCTTGTTTACCTGCTGAGTATTACAGTTTGATTTTTCTCAGGAAACTAGGCAATAAGGTGGGACGTACGATTCGGGTAGATCAAGCGACGAGTATGGTTTCCCGAGGGATGTTTGCTAGGGTCTGCGTCGAAGTTGATATAACGAAGCCTTTGATCTCGAAGTTCACATACAAGGGTCGCGTGAGATTGGTAGCATATGAGGGTATTCATATGGTTTGTTTCACATGTGGAGTTTATGGCCACAGCCCTGAGGCATGCCCAAAAACGACTAGACCGGAAGCTGAAAAGAGTGATGATCAGCGTGCGGAGGGCGTTAGCCATGCTGTAGGAGAGAAGCATGGGGTTACTATTGGCGCAGAGCCTTTCGGAGCTTGGATGATCGCCCCTGGGAGGAGGGCGCGAGCGGGTCCCAGGCAACCAGTGAGACCTCCGCGGGCTACGGAGGAGAGACGACGTGGTGCGGTTGCCGAGCGAGATGGTGGAGCGCAGAATTCGAGGTTTGGGCCGCTTTCCGTGGAGGACACAGAAATCGGGGACCCAGAAGTGGCGGATGTGGTAGCACATGTCGACGAGGCAGATCCGAAGAGGCCACCACCGGTTGTGGCGGAGGAAACGCAGGGCGTTCGAACTGGATTGGTTGCGGGTACTGGTGCGTGAAGACCGAATGGGGTCGCAGTGGAAAGACAGATTCTGAATGAACCTGCAGGGATGAGTCGTGCACAGGCAGCCAGAAGGGACGTAATCACACGAGCCCGGGGAGGTGGCCGAGTTGGAACTAGGCGGGCGGCGGAAGAAGATGAACATATCGTTGTTCGAGGGGAGCAAGGTGGACTGGTGATTCACTCGTCAAGAGTTTTTGCTGGAGACGAGATTGGCGATCTCCCGTCACCAGTTTGGGAGCCCACGAACGAGCACCACGCCGACCCTCCAGAACGGGTGGATGAAGAGGGCGATGTAGTGATGGCCCTTGGTACAACCCAGGATGGTTTTGATGGGAATGAGGAGGCCAACATTGGCCTTTGAGTACTTTCTTTGTGTGTTTTGAATGCTGTGTTCTCTCCCTGGGGTTTATTTTTCCTTTTCTCCCTGCTTTGTTTAATGGATTTTTTGCTCTGGAATTGTCAAGGGGCGAGTGGAAAGTCATTCCACCGTGCCCTTAAACTTTTATTGCAGGTCTACAAACCCAGCATCCTTGGTTTGTTCGAGCCGAAAGTTTCAGGAGTGCAGGCAAACAAAATTTGTTCTATGTTCGGCTTCTCGGATTGGTTTCGAGTGGAAGCTGTGGGTTTTAGTGGGGGGATCTGGGTTCTCTGGAAGGACCCGGTTCATATCTCAGTCCTCTTCACTCACCCGCAGTTCATTCTTTTGCAGGTTTCCCAAAGTGGACAACCGTCATGGGTGTTTGCTCCGGTGTATTAAAGTCCAGCTCACAATCTAAGACGCAGATTATGGCGCGATCTGACTCAATCCAAAAGGGGCCCACAAGGACCTTGGCTCGTGGCTGGGGATTTCAATTCGGTCACTACCAAGGATGAAACGGCCAATTATATTTCTTACTCATCCCAAAGAAGTGCAGATTTTATTACTTGGATCCAGGATGAAGGTCTTATTGACCTGGGCTTTACGGGGCCTAAGATGACTTGGGTAAAAGATGGGTCGACGGATTTTATAAAAGGAGCCCGGCTAGACCGAGCCTTGTGCAACTTCGAGTGGCGCGTTAGATTCCCGGATGCTTCGGTGGAGCATCTGCTAAGGGTTGCATCGGATCATGCCCCTTTGTTGATACGCTTACACGGGGGCCGAAAGGACAACCTTTCTAACCATTTTCGTTTTCAATTTCAGGCTGCTTGGCTCACAAATCAGGACGTGTCAACATTAGTGCAGCGGACCTGGGACACCGGAGCTGGCTTGACCGTAAACATTCAGAAGGTGGCTCATGATCTTAATATTTGGAATATGGAGGTGTTTGGAAATATTTTTAAACGAAAGAAAGACCTTTTGGCCAGAATTAGAGGTATTCAGAAGGTTCAAGCTAGCAAGTCCCATAATGGTTTGGGAAAATTGGAAAAGAAATTAAGAAGTGAGCTGGAAAATACCCTTTATCAGGAAGAGCTTTTGTGGTTCCAAAGGTCGAGAGAGGATTGGATAACATCAGGGGACAGAAATACCGCCTACTACCACGCTGCTGCTACAATACGCAAATCCCGCACAAAGGTGTCCGGGCTCAGGGATGAGGATGGAAATTGGCTTCCGGAGGGGCCCGGTCTACCGGAACACGTTAGAAATTTTTTCATTAATCTTTTCACCGGGCCCACGACGACTCAGGATTGGCCAAGTAATGAGCTAGGTTTCCCAAGACTTAGGCACACGGTTTGGAGGGTCTTTAATAGACCAGTCACTAAGGAGGAAGTGCAACAAGCGGTCTTCGACAGGAAACCCTTCAAAGCCCCGGGCCCAGATGGTCTTCCAGCTGGTTTTTACCAGCACATGTGGGACATAACCGGAAATAGCGTCTTTAATTTGGTAAGGGAGGCAATCAACACTGGTAGCCTTCCTGAAGGCTTAAATGATACCCTGGTAGCGCTCATTCCAAAAGTCCGGGGTCCTGATACGATCAAGCAGTTCCGCCCAATAAGCCTTTGCAATGTAAGTTATAAAATTTTAACTAAGACAATTACTAACCGGTTGAAAATCATTTTGCCTCAGGTGATCGGACCGCACCAAAGCTCGTTTGTCCCAGGAAGGCAAATTTCAGACAACATTATTGTGTACCAGGAAATTTTGCACTCAATGCGGGAAGCCCGTGGCAAAAAGGGGTTCATGGCTATTAAATTGGATCTAGAGAAAGCATACGACAGACTATCATGGGACTTCATTCGAGATACTTTGGTACACGCAGGTTTTAATTCTAGTTGGGTAAATATTATAATGGCATGTGTTTCTACTTCTAAGCTTGCAGTTTTATGGAATGGCGAATGCCTCGACCAGTTTACACCTGAGAGAGGAATAAGGCAAGATGATGCCATGTCCCCAGCTCTTTTTGTTCTTTGCATAGAACGACTTAGTCATTTAATCCTAGCAGAAGTGAACAATCGAAACTGGAAAGGAATTCAATTGGCCCCAGACGGACCAATTTTGTCACACCTCTACTTTGCTGATGATATGGTACTATTTAACGAGGCTTCTGAAGAACAAGTTGAGGTTGTACAACGCTGCTTGGATTCCTTCTGCAGAGTGTCAGGACAGAAAATCAGTCTCAATAAATCACAGGTTCATTTTTCCAAAAGTACATCGTCAGAGATGGCAACCAGGATTGCAAACAAGTTAGGTATTGAGGAAACAAAAAACTTGGGACGATACTTAAGTGTACCCTCCCTTCATGGTCGGATCACTTGCAACACGTATGCAGGTCTCTTAGAACGAATTGCTAGCAGACTGGAAGGATGGAAAGCTAAAACGCTATCTCTAACCAGGAGAATAACTCTTGCGAAATCCGTTTTAAACGCAATCCCGGTCTACACCATGCAGATGGCGGCGCTCCCGAAAAGTGTCTGCGCCGAAATTGAGAAAAGAACCCGGCGTTTTATCTGGGTAGAAATGATCAGACGGGGGGAAGGAAAATGAGCTTGGTCAATTGGGAGTTGGTTACTACGGGGAAAGCAAATGGAGGTCTTGGTCTAAGGAAGCTGCATGAAATGAATGCGGCTTGCATGGTTAAACTCTGTTGGCGGTATCGAACGGAACCCACAGCCCTTTGGGCAAAAACTCTGGCTACCAAGTATAATCATAGGGTGGGCGCTACGATGGACATCTCGAGTCGACGTAAGATTTCAAATGTTTGGCGTGGTATGTGTGGCGCCAATAACAGCCTGGAGATAGGCGTCATGCGAATTGTTAGGGATGGTAAAGCAACGAGGTTCTGGATGGATAAGTGGCTGGCCACTTATCCTTTATACGAAAAATTGCTCCATCCGTTGAGCCTTCCGGAATTGTACGCAAACGTTGAGGAGTACTGGGACCAAGCCAAAGGTTGGAAATGGGAGATTCTGGAGCAGTCCCTACCGCGGGAAGAACTTCATACTCTCGCTGGCTTTGAGTTAACAGAAGCAGGCGTCCATGACGAGTGGGGTTGGGAGCCGGATCCTCGAGGCCGGTTTTCGGTGCGTTCAGCCTATGCCTTGATGGACCCCTCTCATGTCGGGAGTACTGATCAAATGTGGAGTACCATCTGGACTTTGAGGGTGCCGGCCAAAATCTCTGTTTTTGTCTGGCTTGTGCGACATGGGAAGATTTTAACAAATATGGAACGGGCGAGACGCCACCTTACGACTAATGACATTTGTTTTCGTTGTGCAGGTAAGAGGGAGGACATGAACCACCTGTTCAGAGACTGTGACGCCGCTAGACCAATCTGGGAAACTTCACTGCATTGGCGTGTACGGGAAAATCTAAGAAACTTGAACTGGGAGGAATGGTTCGAAGTTAACATCCGAGGAAGCGCGAATTACGGTTTTACGGAGGACTGGCCAGAAAAGTTTGGCATCAGACTTTGGTGGATCTGGAGGTGGCGAAACGATGAGGTATTTAACGGGATAAACACTGCGGTTAACCATAAGGTAGCTTGGCTGCAAAATTATGATCATGAAGTGCTTGGGGCTTTTAAAAAGAAGCAGGCGACTCTACAGGGCCGAAATAAATATATCGATGCATGCGTTTCTTGGAAGAAGTCGGCGGCGGGTTGGTTCAAATTAAACGTTGACGGCAGCTTCAAGCGAACAGGTGCAACGAGCTGTGGCGGGGTTCTACGCGATGTGCACGGAGATTGGTGTAGGGGCTTCTCGTTCACGATCGGTAGGTGCTCTGTTGAAGCTGCAGAAGCGTGGGGTGTGGTGCAGGGACTTCGGATGGCGAAGGCATACGGCGCCATGAGGGTCATAGTCGAATGTGATTCAAAATCCTTGGTGGAAAGCTTGTGTACAGAGGAAGGGTGGAGACACCAAAATCATAATATTGGCAGGCTTTGTGTGCGGGAAGCATCTAGTCTGATGGAAGTGAGGTATACGCACGTTTTCAGGGAGCAAAACCGTGTTGCAGATAAACTTGCGGCAATGAGGGATTTGGATGGCGCCGGTCTACGTACTTATGAGACACCTCCGCCTCACCTCATGGAGTTAGTCACCCTTGACAAGATTGGTGCAACTTATATACGCAGGGTTCATCGGGCTGTTTATGCCCACATGGTGGTTTGATCTGTCTTTTCGGGTATCCCCCTCCATTCCAGATATTAAAAAAAAAATTAAAAAAAAAAAGTGACTCCTACTAGGCTACTACTACTATTTATTTATTTATTTATTTATTTAAACATATATTTATTTTATATATGTTTTAGATGTATGTTACGTTGTTGTTGATATCTAAAAACATAATAAGTCTTAATCAAAGTTATATCTCTCATTTATGTCCATTTTTTAATGTTAACCATTTTGTACATTGTGCTTTTAGAGTTGTACTATACAGTTTTTTAGACAAAAATACCCTTACCGTTATTTCAACTTCATTCACAATCTTCAATTACTTGGAAGTTAATATCAAATTCTTAGCAATGCAGTTCCCCTCTTGTGTTGATCTTACTATCTATATGACAACTGCAGCGGCTT